TGGCGAATGAAGACGACTCTGATTCGGACTCAGACCTCATTGGACCACCACTTCCGCCGGGATTTCAATTGGAATCCGAGACCAAAGAAGACACCGAAGAGAGAAGTGATGACGAGTTGAGTGATGAAGACGACGACGAGTCAAATAGTCGTTACGATGTGCTGCCGATCAGTCATGAGATTGAACTGATCCACGGCTCCAAATCGGTGACCGCTTTGGCATTGGATCCGAACGGCTCGCGAGTGGTGTCGGGAGGACTCGACTACGAGATGAAGTTTTGGGACTTCCAGGGAATGGATTCTTCGCTGCAATCGTTTCGGTCGATCACTCCGTGTGAATGTCACGCCATTAAGAATCTGGAGTTTTCGGCGAACGGAGACGTAATCCTTGTTATCTCCGGCGCCTGTATTGCGAAGATTGTGGACAGGGATGGGTTCGTGAAGGGGGAGACCATAAAAGGCGATCAATACATAACAGACATGAATCACACTCGAGGACACGTAGCTATGCTGAACGATGGCGGTTGGAATCCAAGAGATAAGGGACAGTTCGCCACCTGTTCTAATGACGGCACCTGTAGGTTATGGGACATACAGAATCTTAAGACTCATAAATCTGTGTTAAAACCGCGCTCTTCTGGCGGATTGAGAGCCATTCCCAACACATGTCGTTACACAAGAAATACAGAACTGGTTTCTGTCGGTTGTAATGATGGAAGTGTTCAGATGTGGGACACCAGAAGAAGTCTCATCAATACCAGTGCTATAGTACGAGAGGCGCACACAAAGGGCTCAGAGATCACTTCAATTCAGTTCTCATATGACGGCAATTGTCTGTTAACTCGCGGTACAGACGACGCGCTTAAGCTGTGGGACATGAAAATGCTTAAGAAACCCATCTTCGAGATCAAAGAACTCTTTAATCGCTTCTCAATGACGGACTGCTTCTTCTCGCCCGACGACCGGCTCATAGGAACCGGCGTTTCGTGTCTTAAGGGTGAAGAGTTGGGCCGACTTATGATGTATTCACGAGACAACGCGGAATTGAAGCACGAGATCCCTGTGAGCAAAGGAGCGGTGATCAGGAGTTCGTGGCACCCGAAGCTCAACCAAATAATATGCGGCTCATCTAACGGCGCCGTCAAAGTATACTACGATCCGAACCGTTCGGACAGAGGCGCCAAACTATGTGTCGTTAAACACAAGCGAAAGTACAGAGAAAGCTATGAAAATATTGAACAGCAGATCATTGCGCGTATGTTTCACTCATATCTTTGTCAAGTATTTCATTGTATTCACGACATGTCGTTCCCTTTACAGCACACGCTTTGCCACTGTTTAAGACTGAACGCAAGAAATCATATCGTCTTCAGATGCTTAAGGCTCGTAAGGATCCCATCAAATCTCGTAGGCCTGAGCTCCCGGTGACGGGTCCGGGACAGGGCGGTCGCATCGCTTCGGCCGGCAATACGTTCGCCTCATTTATAGCCAGAAATCTTGGCGTTAAGAATAAGATCGACGACAACGAAGACCCGCGAGAGGCGATCCTCAGACACGCCAAGGAGGCCGCAGAGAACCCCTATTGGGTGTCACCGGCCTATGCGGCCACTCAACCCAAACCTGTTTTTGCCGCCGAGACTAAAGAGGACGACGAGGACGAGCCCTCTGCCAAACGGCCGCACATTCCTGTGTAGACCATTCAGTCATCCATTTATTTAT